AGAAAAAAAAAGCCAGTAGCTATCAATTTTCAGTTTATATCCTTTACCCTCTTTATGAACGAGTTCTTATCCTGTGGTTTTTCCTTTACATCAGTAAGCCTGTACTTATTGTCCTCTAGAAAGAGAAATATGCTAAAAGAAAGAGAATACTCTAAAAATAATTTTGTTACACTTTTCTAAGCACTATACTTTAGACTGTTTACAGAGGCCTCTAGTTTTAAATGTTATTTTCCTTAAAAAAAAAAAAAAAAAAGATTCCATTAAATAAATCTGATCTCTCCTTTGCATTTCTGGTTGGAACAAAAAGTTACCTAAGCCACATTTTGTCCAGGACAGCCAGGTTGCTAGTAAAAACTAACTTCAATCAATCTGCAGGAAAGACCACTTACAGTTAGTTTGTATTTTTGTGTTCATTGGGAAAGAATGTAAGGAAGTTGTAGGTTCAGCCTGGTTTCACAGCTATTCTAAATTTAGATTCACACACACCACACACAAACACTCCCCTCTATACTTAACTTAGGGACATTGAATTGCACAGGTGTGAATTCAAGACGATTACTATTCCTAGCCTTCATTAACATTTTAAAGAGTTAAAGTTGCTAGTAAGGATGTGTGCTGCCCTAAGCCTGGCTTAAAGCATTTTCCCCAAGGGATTTTATTCATTAGGAACTAGTAGACAATGAATTAACACACTACAGACCTTTATCTTTGCAACAGGGAAGGAACTGCAATTGTCTTTAAGACAGTGTCAACAGTTTCCACCCCCTAGTTGTTAGAAAGATATCAGGAAATTCAACATAATAAAAAGATTTAAAAGACTAATAGAAAAAGTAATTCTTCTACTTATAAAGAAAATGGAAATTAAAATGAAAATTCTGCTTACCAAACCTGAAAAATTACAGTTACAATATTCAATGGCGATGAGTCCTTTTGGTAATTTTTTTCTTCTCTATGTATATGGTGCGACAGGACTCTCCAACTGCTGATGGAACAACAGAAGGATAGTATCCCTGTCAAGAATTTAAAAAATATCAAAACTCTTCAAATTGGTAATTGTATTATAAGAATCTCTCTAAATACTCAAAAATGCTAAGAAAGATTTACCTACAAAGATGCCTGTCACAATGCAATGAATTGTAAAAATTCCCTCAAAATGGACTACAAACTTAGCCATTAAAATACATATCTCAGCATATGACAAAGCAGAATGCTAAGTGGTTGGGGAAAAAAAATAAGTTGTATATAAGGCAAGATTACCACTGCATGAAGGTATTAAGAAATATGGAGAAGAACTGAAAGTCACCAAAAACAACTGAAGTAGACAGTAGCATGTATTAACTAATGGCATTTAAAAATTTTTTTTTTTTGAGACGGAGTTTCGCTCGTTACCCAGGCTGGAGTGCAATGGCACGATCTCGGCTCACCGCAACCTCCGCCTCCTGGGTTCAGGCAAT